TGACCTGGGGGTCCCTGATCCCAGCCCCAGATGCAGCATATACATCAATAAGTGTCAATTGGTTCTCGTCCCAGCCCCCAGCCCATAAGGACACCAAGTCTCAGGAAGGACTGTTATTAACAAAGAAATTCTTCTGTTGTGTTGTTTGGGGCACTCGGAGAAACCAATCTCGTTACTTTATACTAGACAGGTAGAGACTTGATTTGAGGGCACCTCTAACACAAGAGGAGGTGCAGAGGCTAGGACTCAGTGACCAGCTCGTGTCATCCTCCCCAAATCTCCTCCCACAGACCTTCCCCTTTCCCCCCTCTGTCACAGGAGTGTTTTAGGAGCTTCTGTCCTTGGCAGAGTTGGTTGACCAATGGGATCATTGATGGCTTTTTAGCTGACCCACGGCATCAGGACTGGGCAGTGACTTCATCATTCTAGTATTTTTTTCAAGTCTTTCCTGTCCAGCATGCTCGATGCTGGTCAGGGGGAAGGGAAGGGAAATATAGACGGAGACACTGTCCCTTGCCCTTGAGAGAGAACCAGTTACAGAAAATGTGACTTTCTCACCTGAGAAACTGATTAAAGAGGCCAGAAAAAATCTGGGTGCAGGGGGAAGATGGGAGGAGGAAGGGCAGTGGAGGCAGGGGTGGAGGGAGTTCTCTGAGTTACAGCCATCCCCAGTTGTGGGAATATGAGGTGAGTGTGAGTGGACTGTTCAGCCTGAGCTCAATTCAACCAGTCCAGGAGTGACCGGGGCACTCCTCTCCAGTCCGTGTCAAGGCTCTTTGCTGGCTCGGCAAGTGCAGTGTAAGCTGGGGTGGGAGCATTGACTTCTTCTCTTGCCAGCTGTCTTGGCCTGGCGTTTTCCCCAGCTTTGTACCACACATCGAAGAACCATGGCTTTAGGCCATCCAGGATCTTTCTTTCTCTCAACCCCAGTATTCTGCTCAATCACAAGTTTGTTCATTGGTCAAGGTGCTCTGTGGGCACCATAGGAAAGCTGGGGACATTTGAGCCGAGGGCAGAAGCTCACCCAGTGGAGTGACCTGGACTGGAAGGACGTGGTTGGCTCAAGCAGGTCTGGGCACCACCCTCATGGTAGACCAGCAAGTATCCAGGTGCCAAGCTGCCTGGCCACTTCTCACAACATCTGCTGGCTCCGCCCTTCTGAAAAGCCATTAAAGATGAGCTCTTTCCCAGGAGGGTGGCTTAGCTCCAACTCAGGTCTGGGTAACCCATCACTCACCTTCCGTCCCATAGAAATGAAAAGACAACGCTACTCTAAATATCATAGTGTTTGTTTTATTTAAATCCTGAGATTAAAAAATAAAATATTTCCAAATGGCATAGCAGACTATAAAAGAACATGTTTTGGGATACAAAAGTTTCTCACCCCCTTGTGCAGGTGGGGTGCTGGTATCTGATGTGTTTCTGGGCAATTCTTTGGCAGAAAAGAATGAATTGGGGTCCCAGACCTACCATCTCATAAGGCCACGTGAATCGAGGATTAATCGATTAAAGTGCAATTCCAATTTTCAAGCCTTGCAGCCGAGGCCTGGGTGTTGCTCTGCAGCCACCAGAGAGGCAGAGCGTCTCTGGATAACACACATCAGGAAGCCTTTTTATCAGAGATGCCTCCTGAAACTTAAAGATATACTTTATAATTTTAAAAAGTGCTTAAAAGGGAAAAAGAAATTATAAATTCAGTCTTTCCTGTTTTCTTAAAAGAACCATAATGAAATGAGAAGAACTTCCCAAGGGTCCTAGGAAGTACTTTTCTGGTGTTTTGTAAACGTACGTGGCTGTCTCAGTGCTGTTTGTATGTAATGATCCTTGGTTCTAAGCATCACAAGTGGCTTCTCTCTGCTTTAATCCCCCACACCTCTGAGCCAAGGAGGGTTTCTTGACCTAAAGAATTTGCACATGTGGAATTACCAAGATGTACTCTTAAAAACGAAACTCCTCTAAAATCGTATCAGTGGACATCTAACCATATCCAAACACAGACTTTGTGATTTCATCCCTAAATGGGAATTTCCATTCATTTGGGCCTAGAATGGCTTCACCACCTTAGATGATAATTGAAAAAGTCCAGAAACACCATCTCCTCTGTTCTTGAGTTATATTATGTGGCTTTTCATTTCTACTTTCCAAACCCTGTGGGGTTTCTCAGTTCCAGGATCCTGCTTGAGAGTGTTCACCTGGAATCCAGTGTGCTGAAGTCTGAAGTGTTCTGAAAAGTCCACTCAGATCTGGGGGAAAGTACTTCCTCTCAAACATACTTCCTTGATTGTGGATACATGTGTTTGAAAGAGGCTGGCGTGTTCTTGGGTGAAGGTGGTGTGTGCCTTCATTGGTGGTGGTGAACAAGGCATCTGGCTATCAATAGGAACATGTGACTGTTATTCAGAGAGCTGGGCCACCATGGGGCTGCCCTTTTTTTTTTTAAATAGTGATCTGGGATCCCAAGGATGCTTCCGTCTTGCTGATTTCTAGTGTAATTCAGTCTACTGGAGCTACTACCTTCAGCAGTGGATCTTCAACTGTTACTTGCATTGCTTAAAGTACCCTAGTCCTCAATCCTCAGTAAAGCTGGGAATCTGTTTAAAATAAGAATAAAACTATTTATAAAAGCCACACTTAAATAGGCCAAGATGCTCTCTAGCTGCACAGTGCACAGCAAACTTGAACTTGAAGAGCAATATAATAAAGTACAAATGTCCACTCAGCACAAAAAATAAATAGGCTCATTAAACCAAAGATTTAGGAAGTGACCACTGAGCATTGGGCAGTCCTCTGTGCAGCAAAGGACTTTCTCATACACCGGCCGTCGGTACTGGCAGTGGTGCACACGAGGCCCGGCTCTTCAGCAGTGGCTCTGCGTAAGCTGCAACTGGTCCCCTGCTGTGATGAATGACAGATGCTCAGAATGGATCTCAGATGGCATGTCCCAGGCCCTTCATGGGCCCCCAGTGAACAGTGGTTCTTGCTGCAGATGGTGCCAACAATATAAGCAGAAGGCCATCACTGGGCCAGAGTCTCCAGCATCCTGGGAAAGCTAAGTGCTCAAAGCAAGATTCCAGACTGCTCTGGGCTCTCTTTTGTTAGTATCTTTCTTCCAGGGAAGAGCTGACTGACTTCTGATTATCCTCTGCAAGAGGGTGGATTTAAAGGTAGGATAATTTGCTCTTGAATAATCTCCAGTCACACACCCACCTGACAGGACAGACATGAGGCGAGGGAGAGACTCTCCAGGGGCCTGGCTGCTTTCTGTCCTGGTGCAGAGCATGGTTAGGGCCTTTGCCAGCTGGAGATGACACAGCACCTGATGTCCTTCTGCCAGATGAGGCTGCTCCAAGTAGAACAAACCCAAGAGGCCCAGCTTTTCTCTGGGCAACCCCTTTGAAAGGTTCTGGTCACTGCTCCCCATGCCCTGCTTACACTGACTGGAAGTGCCTGGTTTCCTGTTTAAATTAGATCATTTCCTTTCACTTGTGGTCCTACGTGAGTCCTCTTGGCTGGTGGTGAGGCTATGCTGCTGAGGGGCAGTGGGTTTAGGGCCTGGTTGGACTTAGCCTGGAGCTCCTGACCAATTCTCAAGCCCTCAAAACCAGTGAGACCAGTTAGGATGACAAAGTGAAGAAGCTCTGAGAGGTGGTGCCTGGACTTGGATCATAAGGCTAGGGGAGGAAGAGCCGGGTCTGGCACTCAGATCCTAAGATGATCCGTCCAGGTGCTCTCTCCCTCATCCCTGGCCAAAGCAGGCCCTTTCATCAGATGCTCTGCCCACTTGTAGAAGTACCTGGGCCTTGGCTGAAGGCAGCTGGCTCTGTGAACAAGGGACGAAGAGGCCATCAAAGAGGAGCTCTCTGTGGTGGGAGAAGAAAAGGGCCACAGAGAACAGAACAGGAAGATTATCTAATTCTTGTCCAAAAAAAGGAAACAGGAGCCCCACTGCCACAAGGGGAGCGGTCTCCTGGGTGCCAGGTGCAGGCTGAGCAGCAGGAAGTGGGCAAATGGGCTGTTGGGGAATCTAACTGGTGGGGAGTGGGGACCAAGAATCAATGATGCCTCTGCTTACCTGTGTGCCTGTGTTTACTCTGTTTCTTTGAAACTTGAGTAACCAAAGACTTTTGTTAAGGCCCCAATTTTTGAAAGTGGTTCTTACCCTGGTTATGAACATTAGTAAACATATGTCTGCAGGTGAGGCAGCAGCTCTCGTTCACATAAACAAAGACAGGCCATCAGCGGAGGAGTGGCCCAAGGTCAATGTACAATTCTGCTCTGTGGTCATGGTGTCCATGTTTGCTAGCATCTGGGCCTTAGCCACTCTGGCCCTAGTGTGGTGGATTTTGTTTCTTGAATTATATTCAATTCTATGGAGAGGCCTGGCTAGGTGAAAGGTTTTGAGGATTGAATCACTCAGGTGAGCCAGGAAGTGAGTGCAGCTTAGATGCCCCACCAAAACAGCTGAGTTCTAGAGCAGCCCCCAACTTACCAGGGCAGTGAGGGACAGGAGCATGAGAGGAGAAGGCTGGCTGGGATCCTAGGAGGGCCCCCTGGCACCCTGACTTGAATGATGGCCCTGTGCCTGCTTTTTGTGGGAGTATGGGGCCTCACAACCTAAGGACTCACAGGATGTGGCCAGAGCACCTGGCTGAGGGTCTCCAGGATGCCTGGCCCTGGGTGGGGCAAGGCGGTCATCTCTGGTGGCCGGGGACACCCTCCACAGGAGGCCTGCAACCAGCTGTGCTCCAGGAGGGGCTCATGGTGTCCCGAATGTTTAAACTTTTGGCAGAGCAACCCTTCAGGTGTGGTGACAGCTGGATCTTTAATGAATGGAAATGTCACCTGAGCCCTTAAAAGCTGTGTGGCTAAGAGTGACCAGTGCACTGTGCTGAGTGCACAGTACTCCTGAGCAATGTGGCTTCTGAAGAGCAAACTGAGGGCCTCTCTTCCAGAGCTGTAGAGCTGACGACCTTTGGAGCAGCCGCCTTTTTTTTTTTTTTAAATGCTTTATGTTCCTAGTAAGGAAGAGTAGTGTATCCTATGGCTGAAGTAAAGCTACTGAAATCCAGGTGCGTGAAGTTACAGAAAATCACTTCCATCATAGATCACAGGCCGATCAACTGTTAAGTGATAAAATACTTTTTTGGAGACAAACCTGAGGAAACAGAAACAGAAAAAAAAAACGTGTTACCATGAGGGCTGAGAGCCCGAGGGGTGGGAGCCACCACCAGAGCCTCTGCCATCACTGCCGGAGCCCTGTGGAGAGGGCTCTGTGAGAAGGACTGGGCACATCCCAGAGCATGTGGGACTTTCCAAGGCCTGCAGCCAACTTTACTGTCTGTCTAGCAGAGTTCTCTCCCTGCAAGGGTTGGTGGGGGCAGGGGAGGGGTCTCAGGACATCAACATGGATGTTCCTAGGGCTTCGGTGCAGAAATGCCCTGTGGGCTGCAGGCTGTGAACCTCCCCACTCCATCACCTGGCTGCTCCAAAGTAGCCTGAAGTTAGAACTGCAAGGGGTGCATATGTGTGTGGCTGGGGTGGAACAGATGAAGCGGGAGATGAGAGGAGGCATCTGGTGGAGGCCAGCATGGATTTCATTCCAAATTGGCAGGCCTCTAAATCAGTTTGGCCAACCATGGTTTGGAAATATCAAGTAGGCCTGAGATGGCCTCAACAGGCCAAGGCCAGAGTTTGTAGCAGCATCATGGCCACCTCCAGTGAGAACTGAGAGCCATCAATCCACAGTGAGGCTCAGTAAGGTGGTGACATATTCGCTGCCATGCTACAGAGGAGGAAACGGGGGCTCAACGAAGGCCCACAGCGGGAAGAGCAGAGGTCGTGTCTGGCTGTCCCCAGCCCACTCTCCCACCCAGGAGGGGCCAGGTTTCACATGCGCTCTTGAGGCGTGGGGTCTCCAAAGACAGCTCTCTGGGCATGCGGGCCTATGCCATGAGGTCCTGCTAGCTCAAGGTGTGTGTTTCTAAGGGGAGTACAGGGAGAGGCCGGAAGGGGCAAGGTGAGAAGTTCATCCTCCAACCTCTCCTTGTGGTGGCCACAATCCCCGGGAGTACAAGGCCAGGAGGTGGTGAGGGGGTGGCACAGCTTTTCCCTAGCATCCTGTCAAGTTGTTCTGCTAAAAGCCAAGTGCCCATGTGAGGGGATGTGACCACTAGCCCAGGGCCCTGCTCAGAGAGGATGTGGCTGAAAACAGATCAGGCAGGACTCTTGAAAGAGGCAGCCCCAGTTGAGGGGCTTTATGCTGAAGCCAGAAGCCATAAAAAGGGACAGGTGCCCAACAATCATAACCACCTTTGTCTCATGCTCATGGCAGATACTCAATCAATGCAGGTCCCTTTCCCCACTCCCTTCCCCAGTGCCCCTCTGCCCTGTCTCCCTGCAGTCCCATTCTCTCACAGAGTCTCCTCCTTCATCCCCTAGACTACATACTCTGAGCCTGTAGCTGCCCCTCAGAGTGCCTTCCAGAGACAGCATATGCCACCCCTGACACGGCCCAGGGACTTTGTCTCACAGTCTTAGTCCTGCTTATCTAAAGCCTTGTCCTTCCTTATTTCAATTCTCTCTTTCTCATTCATTTGTTCAGTCCTTCCACCATATTTCCTGAGCCCCTTTTTTGGGCGAGGCAGTAGAAATTCATATCAGAAAGTGGCAGAAAGCACACGGGTTAAGAGTCCAGACTCTGTGGCTGGGCTGCCTGGTTCCAACCTGGTCCCAACATGGTCCCAAGCTGTGTGGCTTGGGTATATCCCTTCTCTACCCCTCAGCAGTGGCATGAGGAGAAAGGCAGTACCCCGTGCACAGGGACGCTGGGGTGTGAATGAGCCATTAAGGCAGAGTGCCTAACATGTGTGGCACATGGTGAGACTCCACACATGTGAGCCTGTATGGCACAAAACCTATAACACACATTGGAACACCACAGGAGAGGTGTCTATGACCAAAGGACGATTGGTAATAAGTTACTATTGACAATTAAGTAATTGACTGTTAATGTCCATCTTTGTTCTTGAGCACAGGTGGCCCCTACCTTGAGAAGGTGTTGTCGAAGATGAACATGTAGATGCCTGGTGTGCGGACCTTGAGCTGGCCCTGGATGTTCTCCTTGTGGGAGTTGCATCGGGTTGTGGGGATGAGGACCTGGGAGGGAAAGCAGACCAAAAAAAAAGCATCTCAGAGGCTAAGAGGGTCCCATGAATCCTCTGGACAAACCCTTTACTGGGAGGGAGGAGACTGAGGCCCAGGGAGGCAGAGTGCCCTGTCTGAGTTGTCTGAGGTTACAGCTGAACAGGGTTGGGCTGCAACCAGTCCCCAGGAGTGGCGGGGTGTCATCCACACACCCTGAATTTGTTGATGACTTGTGGTGGGGGAGGCTGTGGGTGTGAGATTCATCCAGAATCATGACCTGGTTGGCTCCCTCAGGGAGTGGTCCCCCAGCCTCCCTTGACCACAGCCAGGGCTAGCACAATCCACCACTTGGAGGAGCAGCCTGTCTGGTTTCAGGAAGTGGGGCTTGTTCTAGGTGAGATCCATCTGTCTCGCTGTCTCCTCTTGGTCCCTGTGCTGCCCTTGAGTCTCACAAGACAGGCTGAGCCATCCTTCCAGGTGACAGCCTTTCAGGCCCCAAGCTGTTGTGCCCGCTCTCCTCCAGGCCCAACACTCCTGGCTGCACCTGTGCTCCCTGTTCGGCCCCACCATGGGCTCCTGTCCTGCACCCTGGCTGGTCCACGAGCCCCAGGACCCTTTCATCTTTCCAAGCCTGAGCCTCAGCCTCCTGTCTACTCTCTGCCTTCTCTGAGGATGAGAAATTAGCCCCAGGAGACACTGATTTTCACAGGCCATTTTCCAAAGGCCTTGTTATCAGAGGTTAAGTCTGCACAAATGATATGCTGGGCAGGCCAGGGCTGAGGATCTTGGATGGCCAGGCTCTTCAATTTGTTCACAAGCTCAAACACAGGCCTGATTTTAAAGCTGACAACAGGAGATAAGGGAAAGTCAATACAAATTTTAATCCCTGATAAACACCTAGGGGTCTTGTCCCACAAAGTCTCCGTAAGCCTTCCATTTAGGACTGACTACACATCGATGGTTACATAAACCAGAGGTTCTATAGACAATGGTAACATCTTTGAGTTCCTAACGTGGCAAACTGTCCTAGAAGTGATCACTTTTATTCTTTACAAAATTAAATGTTGCCCCTTCTTTTTTAGAAATATAAATTTTATTAAATTCAGTTTTTTTCTATTACATATCCTTTAACCTGTAAAAAATGACTGAATTCCAAATAGTTATAAAGATTTTAAGATTACTTTTTTAACTGAAACTTGAATTCAGCTCTCAAAACCCTACATGTTGGCCACAAAGTTCCCAAAGTGAAGTCAAGTCCCACCATGGCTCTGCCCTCAAGGATCCTGTGTTTAACAGAGATCGCAGACAAGAAAACATTAATTACGCTGGAATGAGAGTACCATGAGGGGAGAATTGGTAAGGGGAGCCTATACCAGCTCCTGGCCGGGAGGGAGAGAAGGCAGGATAGGAGGGAAGTCTTCCTGGAAGAGGTGTTACTGAGCTTGAATAATTTAGTTAGAGGGACATCTGGCTATTACAGGCTCTGGGCTCAACATATTCAAAGGCACAGGAGAACAGCTAAGATTTACCTTCCCAAGACGCAACTGAGAAACAGACAAACCATATGAAAAGACAGTTTTCAAGACATTAAACATCAGACAATGAGGACAGTGATCCCTGAGAACACAACTGCCCTAGCTTATTGCTATCACAGGAAGAGGGAACAAAAACCAGACAGGATAAAAGAAAACAAATAGCAAGATGCTAGACTCAAACCTAACCTTATCAACAATCACATTAAGTCTAAATATCTCACTGAAAAGGCAGAGATAATTAGATTGGATAAAAGCAACACTATAGATGTTGATCCATCAAAAGGACATAATAATCCTAAATGTTTATGCCCCTAATGTCAGAGCATTGAAACACATGAAGCAAAAAGTAGAAATGGACAATTGCAAGGAGAAATGGACAAATTCACAACTATAGATTTCAATACCCCTCTTAATAATTGATGGAATAAGTAGACAGGAACTCACTGAATAAACAGAAGGCTTGAACAACACTACACACTACCTTGACCTGACATTCGTAGAGCACTCCACCCAGCCACAGCAGGACACACATCCTTTTCAAGTGCACTTGAAACATGCACCCGGGTAGGCCATGTTCTAGACCATTAAAAGAAACCCTCAAACTTCAAAGGACCAAGTTATCCAAAGTATGTTCTCTGACTACAGTGGAATTAAATTAGAAATCAATCGCAGATCTCTGGAGAATCTCAAAATACTTGGAAGCTAAATAGCAAACCTAAACACATGAATCCAAGGGAAATAAAAAGGGGAATCACAAAGGCAAGGGACGGGGAGCGAGCAATGTGCTCCGACACAACAGCACAAGTGTTCAGGCTGGAAGCTGGTGGGGGGAGGAAGTAGGGCTGGGCCCCAAACAAGCCTGGCGACAAAGACAAGCATGTAACCTGTGCTGAGGACCTGCTCCATGCTACATGTAGGCTCGGTGACTCGGTGGCAGCCTCTTTTGCACACAATATTCCATTGTGTCCCATTAATGTTCTATAATATTCTAGTTTCACCAGAGGGTAAGGAGAGAGGTCTGATTCCATACCCAACAATTCTGAGCCTGGCCTCAGACACTCCAGAAAGTGTATAGAAAGGAACTGCTAGACAGGAAGACTTGCTGTGTGCATAGGGACACCTATGTGCCCGCTCATACACCCTTGCACTCACAACCTTGATTACAAGCAACGTCAGGAGCTCATTAAGGCAGGTCCACTGAAGAGGACATGCTTAAAACATATTTCTAGTTTGTTTGAACATTCTATTCTATAGACTTCATTCATTTCAGCTGCTGTTTTCCCACCATGGTAAAAATGTGAGATTTTCTTCTTGTTATTTTGAATAAATGAAGAAAGAAAAAAGTTAAGTGGAGATGAGTTCTGATATTAAAGCTCACGCAGCTGAGAGGCTGGGAAGATGACTGGGGTCTCCTTGGGATAAACCTGAGAGAGACAGGTCTTGGCCATGTTAACTCTGGGGCATCTCCTACCAGCCTCCAGGGCCTAGGTGGCCATGCTCTCATTTATGTGATGCAGTCCAAGTTGGTTTTATTGAACTCTTGATGGGCTTCAGTGGCCTAGGGCCCTGGTACAAAGCAAGGGTTCCATGCTTAGTGAAAAACACCAGTCACAGAAGTCTACATTTTTTTTTTTTTTTTTTTTTTTTTTGAGTTGGAGTCTCACTCCGTCGCCCAGACTGGAGTGCAGTGGGTGCTCCCGGTCACCGCAGCCTCGACCTGCTGGGCTCCGGCGATCCTTCCGCCTCAGCCTTCCAAGTAGCTGAAATTACAGGCACGCGCTACCACGCCTGGATGCTTTTTTGATTTATTGTAGAGATGAGGTCTCGCCAAGTTGCCTAGGTGGGTCTCGAACCCGCCGGCTCAGGCAATCCACTCACCTCAGCCTCCCAAAGCGCTGGGATTACAGGCTGAGCCACCGAGCCCGGCTAAGCCACATATTTTATGATTCCACTTACATGTTTAATGTCCAGAATCAGCACATTCATAAAACAGATTGGTGGCTGCTGGGGGCAGAGGTTGGGAAGTGACTGCGAATGGGTACAGGGTTTTCTTTTTGGAGTAACAAAAATAATCTAAAATTAGATAGTGGCAATGACTGTACAACTCTGAATATACTAAAAATCGCTTTTATTTCATTTTATTATTTTGTTTTATTCATTTTATTTTATAACTCAGGGTCTCACTCTATTGCCCAGGCTGGAGTAGAGTGGTGTGACCATGGCTCACTGCAGCCCCAACCTCCTGGGCTCAGGCAATCCTTCTGTCTTTGTCTCCTGAGCAGCTTGGACTACAGACACGTGCCACTATGCCTGACTAATTTTTAAATTTTTTTGTAGAGAAGAGGTCTTGCTATGTGGCCTAGGCTGGTCTTGAACTCCTCAGCTAAAGTGATCCTCCTGTCTTGACCTCCCAAAGTCCTGGGATTACAAGTGTGAGCCACCACACCCAGTTTTGAATCGTACATTTTTTTTTTTTTTGAGTTGGAGTCTCACTCTGTCGCTCAGACTGGAGTACAGTGGCACGCTCCCGGCCACTGCAGCCTAGAACTTCTGGGCTCCAGCAATCTTTCCACCTCAGCCTTCCAAGTAGCCGGAACTACAGGTGCGCACTACCACGCCTGGCTAATTTTTGATTTATTGTAGAGACGAGGTCTTGCCAAGTTGCCTGGGCGGGTCTCAAACCTGTGGGCTCAGGCAATCTACTCGCCTCGGCCTCCCAAAGTGCTGAGATTACAGGCTGAGCCACCGAGCCCAGCCTGTACATTTTAAATGGGTAAATTATATGATCTGTGTATGAAATCTCAGTAAAGCTGTTTTGTTTATCTGACAGTCAAAGGTCCTTGCTTTCAGTTGTGGTTCTTCCTCTGATGCCCCCGAAGCCTCCCTGACAGGCTGTTGAGCTTCTTTTGTTAAAGGTGGGTCCTCTGCTCAGAGAGAAGGCAGGATCTGGATCCAGTTCTTTGATTTGTCCCTAGGTTTCAGGTCAGTGGTCTGCACACAGGCAGCCTCAAGTCCTTGGTCTACTGTGTCTTTCCTCAGGGACCTCCCCCACATTCACAGTCTTCATCTCAGTATTGAGTCCATGACTCATTAATGGAGGAAGTGGCTCTGGAGAGAAGATGACACAGGGTGGGGACAGCTGCCACTAGTGATGGGTTTGCCTCCTGCTGTGCTACTGTAGCTACCTGATGCTTCTGCTTTGACGACGCCACCCCTCACCTTGCCTCTCAAATGCTGTTCCTAGCTTCTTCCAATGTGACTTTCACTATCAGACCATGGGTCTCCCCCTCCGATCGCTGCCCCTAGACACCCACAGTGCCTGCCCACCCCGTCATGACATGTGCCACCTGGCATCACAGGTGTCTCTTTACTAGAGTCTCTCTCTAATTACACTGTGAGCTCCTATGTTGTCCCTGCATCTCTCTATCCCCAGTGAGCCCTAAAGAGTCTGGTATACAGCAGAAGCTCAACAAACGGCTGTCAACAGATTGCAAGTGCACAGCACAGTTCTTCGCGTCTGTACCTCCATAATCCTGTAATTTGCCCACGCTCACCATTTCCTATAAAGCCAGGTCTGGTCAGGGGAGCGCACAGGGTCTCCAGGATAGATGCTGAGGCTAATGACTTTGGGAGACAGGCAGAGATAACAGCCATCCCCCTGGCTGGCTGGTGACAGAGGAACCGCGAAGGCAGAAGAGTGCCTAAGCACCCTGGACATGGGCTCCTTCTGCCCCCTAGCGTCCACTGTGAGGAAAGACAGTGGTGGTCATGACCCCTGGAGGGCCCCTGGAGGCCAGAGATGAAGAAGCCTCTCCCAGGTCCCCAGGCTCCTCATCCCTGGTAGAACCACACAGGAGCCCCAAGCTCATGAGGAATGGGTGGGCGAGTGGGCAAGGGGAGAGGCCCATGGCCCGACCACATGTGGGCAGGTGGAACAGCAAACCCTGGACACCTGATCTGTCACTCCCCTCTCTCCCTGCCACAAACACTTCCAGTGTCTAATCTGGGTAGACTCAGCATCAGGCACTCGGTGTGCCTGGAACACGAGGGCAAGTGGCAAGGTCACAGACAGCACCGCTGTCTGTGAGTGTGGAGTGGATGGCACAAGAGATGACTCCAGGGTCCTGGCAAGTCACTGTGCACTTCAGTTTTCTCACTTGTACACTCGGATTGAGACTTGCTTCAAAGAGGAAAAAAAATACCTCTGTGCACAGACAGCAGCACTGAGTCCAAATCCACTCCTATAGGGTCACGTGGAGAAGCCTTAACCACAAGAGCTAGGACCTCCTAGACGGAGGTACAGAGCCACTCAGGAAGACTCCAGAGTTAGACATGGGGCGCTGGCCGCAAGCCCCAAGAGGAAAAGGGGGCAGAGCAATTTTAAACAAGAACACAAGACCCCAGTACACAAGGCCAACCCAAGGGGGTGGGATTACTTTTAAGAGTGAGTCTGAAGAGGAGAGAAATGACAAAGTAGTCTCCACAACAAGCAGATTCTAGCAGGGCAGGATGGCAGGAGAGCAAACCCGAGCGGGCACACGTTTCTTGATGGGATGCTAGGACCAGAGCAGGGGACAGCTGTGTGGCCATGGTGCTCTGAACCTGGCTCTCCTGATGCTCTGGGCCTTTCTCAGCCCACAGCTGTGAGCCCTCAGGGGCACCCACTGTACCAAGTGCAGGCAGGACTAAAGGATGTTTCTGCAAGGACTTCACAGAGCTCCAGCCTCACACAACTTCAAGTTTCCTATTGCAATCCTTGCTGCTTTTGCAAAATGAAGTTTTCTGCAGTCTCAAATAGTAGTTCTAGACTACCATCTACTATATAGTAGTCTCAGCCTAAGACCCACTCTCAGCTCTAGACACGTCCAACTGCTCACACCACCCCTTCCACTCAGAACCATTCAAATGCAACTTGTGCCTCCACCCCAGCCAGCTCTCCCTCCATGATTCCTCTATGTCCATCCCCTGGAGAGAGGCAAGCACAAAATTCAGGCCCTGGTGTGGGCTCTTCCTCCCCCTCATCCCATGCTGATTCAGCCACTTGTGTGCCCCTACCCGACCTCCATCGCTCCAAGGCTCTGGATTCCATCCTATCCCTTCCACTCTGGCTTTCAACCCTCTGATCTGGACAGTGGTTCTCAGTGGTTCTCAACCTCGGCTGCTCACTGGGATTACTCAGGGACATCTGGTCCCAGGTGCTTGAGACTCTGCCTTAGTGGTTGGGATGTGGCCTCAGGAATTGAGTTTTTAAAAGTTCTCCAGGTGTTTCTAATGTACAGCCAAGGTTGAGAACCACAGCTCTGACACTCAACATTCCATGCCTAGAATGTCATAGGAGTTTTTGGACTGATATCTGCCACCAAAACTTCAAGCTTGACCACCCCACTGACAACAGTGGGGTTGTCTCTAACGCCCTTGCTGGCAAGATGCCGAACACCTTAAGCAAATAACCAGGGGCAGAGAGGTCACCACCTCCCAAGGTGGCTCACTCCTGCCTTGCACAGCTCTGTTAGAAAATTATCCTTACACTGAGTCACATGTCTGTATTCCTCCAAGTTTCATGTGCCAACCTATTCTAAGATCAGACTGCACCCAGCTGACATGGGAGTGACCTTTGCACATCTGAAGACAGCTCCCCTTGGCCTCCAAGCCTTTCCTTCCCCAAGATGAATAAGCCCAGGTGTTTTGCCTCCTCTGCATGACATGGCCCAGAGCATTCCAGATAAGGCCTGCCCAGTAGAGGGAGGATGGCCACCACCCTGCGCTGGGAGAGGCCTGCCCAAGCCTCCTGATGTGTGTATAGGCAGCCCACGGGCTGCGCTGGGAGAGGCCTGCCCAAGCCTCCTGATGTGTGTATAGGAGCCCAGACTCACCTTGCACTGATCCAGCGGTGTGTCCTCGGCTTCCCGGAAGACCACACTGAAGGAGATGCTCTTGGGGTCGGAGGAGAAGACCCAGCTGATGGTGAGGCCTGCGTCAGCCACAGTGATGGGGATCAGGCTGTAGGTACTGGACCTCACAAACAGTTCTCTGTTTCCCTCTCCAAAGTTGGCGATCTCTTCCACTGTGAGGGGTACTTTGATCCTAAAAGTGCAAAGAGGGGCCTGATCAACTGGACAAAGTGTTTGCGTCTACTGGTCAGGTCATCTGTGGCTCAGTGGTGCTTGGAGACCTTGGAGACTCTTGGGAGGACAAGCTCTGGGTAACCCTGACCAACATGCTTAATTATGGGTTGCACAGTTCCCTCCAACAAACTTAACTCCATGCCTGGCATAGTTGAGGAACCGGGGATAAAGCAGTAACAGACGTGGATGACTCCTTGCCTCTGTGGAGCTGAAAGCCCATGGGAATTGAGGACGTGCTGTGTTGCTCTGTTCCTCCCGTCACTCTCCTGAGGCTGCCCTGCTGCCCAGCTGTCCACATTCTCTCTGCCTCCTCTCCTTCCAATTCCCTGCCTCCCCTTCTTATCTAATTAGCACAAGCCTTCTGACAGTCCCTCTTCTCAACTGAATCTGGGGCCTGTTTTAAGATTCCGCACAGGTACCCTGACCTTTTCTTAAATGCCAACATCTCAGATTCTTTATAACGCTGGGTGACAGGGGTGGTGTGATAGTTTTGGGGAGAGAAACTTTTTGGGACTGTGTCCCTCATTCTGGCTCTCATTAGATGGATATAAGCCTCTTCTAGAGGTTTACAGGGTTTATTGACAGTGAGTGTCTCTGCTTTTGGGGTCCTGTGCAGGACCCAGAGTCTGATGTGAAGAATGTGTGGTGAGGCACCAAGAGACTTTTGTATCTGCTGTAGGGTTTACCCTCTCATAAGTCTCAGTTTCCTTATCTGAATCACAGAAACCACCAAGTCTGCCTCATGACTGTTGTGAGGATTAGAGGAACTTGCTGTGAAGGGGGAGGCTTGTGCCCGGTGGCCCTATCCAGGCTAAATGGCACTGCCCCTTGCACCATGCAACTCCAGAGCCAGCAAGGACAGCTCAGGATCGTGGCACAGGGCCTCCCATGAAGAGCTGTGACTTAGGAGTGGCATGGTCTTCGGCAAGCCACTCACTCTCTCTGAGCCTCAGTTTCCCAACTGTGAAGAGAAGGTGGCAGCCACTATGGGCCAGGACCTCGGCTCAACAACTTCATGTGTTATTACAGTGGCGATGAGAAGAAGGCAGGTGTGTTCCCATTCTACAAAAGACAAAACTACAGTCCAAAAAGATTAAGAAACTTGATCCAGGTTTACAAAGGTCTGATCCAAAGCCATTATTTTTCTATTACACCAAACTGCTTTTTTGTGGAAAAAAAATAAATTAATTACTATCCCCTTTAACACAAGAGGAAACTAAAGTTCAGAGAGGTTAGGTAACTTGCTCAAGACTGCACAGCAAGTAAATGGTGACACTGAGAGTTCTTTCTGCCTCCAAAGCCATGGAAGTGGATGGAACTATACCCAAAGCTATGCTAATGAGGAGCAAGAAATGACTAAAAAACAAAATGCTCTAAAGAACAGCTCCAATACTCACCTTTGTGAAAATTTAATTCAATGCAATACTTCTCCATCTGTTAATTTAAGTTGTATTTCTAATTAAAAGCCCTTGTCCAATGTTTACAATTTTTAAGACTCTGAGGGCAAGTAAGAGGGTTCATTTTGGAAAAGATGTCTTTTCATAATGTGGAAATATGACTACATTACACGTAAAAAGTCACTTGCTCTGACTGAATGCTGAGGTATTGTGTAATTTTAAACTCCTGAAGTCTCCCTGGCACTCAGTTATTTGGATTGTGCCTGAAATCCCTCTGACCTTTCTAGCTATCATCTACTCAATGAGAACAATAGTCAGTTTCTCCGAAGGAGATACTAACAGAAACAAATCAGGGGTTTGCCATCTATGCTCAGATATCATCTTAAATAAAAGAAGTTTACTATCCACAAGACTCCCATCACTAATGTAATTGCTGCCCAGTGACTCAGTACATTCTAGTTTACATGAGCCAAGGGGTACCAATAAATTCTCTACATTCTGAGATCACCCCAACCTTTAACATGTTTCCAGATTCTCTTGCAATGTGGCTGTCAAACTTAGCTTGCCATTACACTCTTTGAAAGAGGCAGAAAAAATAAATGTCAAGATATTGTCATTCTCCTTCCATTTTATTCTGATGTCCAAACGACCTATTCTATCACTTTTATACTATTCTCTTCAAGAATTTGCCTTGGAGTCTGTGTATTCTAATTATTTCTCGGTTTCATGACTTTTCTTGTCCCTTTACTTGAACTAAGCTTTTAAAAAGTTTTATTATGGATAATTTCAAACATCTCTCTGTTCTTTCCCACTAAGCACAACTAAAGAACTTAGAAATAATTCAGCAGACAATTGTACACTGTATAACTAAAAGGTAGGAAAAGGAAGGCAGGCTGACTAAGGACCCCCAGGACTTGAGGAAAATCTCAGCAGCTTGGCACCTTCGAGTCCCCACCTACATATAATAAAAAATCACTCATCATACTAAGAACCAGGAAAATCACAACTTGAATAAGGAAGGACACTGTTCAACAGAAACCAACAATGACATTAACCAGGTGTTGAAATTATCTGTCAAGGCCTTTAAAGCAGTCATCATAAAAATGCTACAATAATAATTTAAAATCTCCTTGAAATAATAAAAAAAAGTTAAAAACAAAACAAAACAAAATCACACACCAAAGAAACAGAAGACATAAAAAAGAATCACACTGAAAATTTTAGAATTTAAAAATGACAGAAACAAAACAAAGAATAACCTCATTGGATGGGCTCAACAGCAGAATGAATATAACTGTTAAACTTGAAGACAGAAAAACAGAAATTTCTTAATCTGAACAACACAGGAAAAGAGACTAAAGAGAAAAAAAAAGAAAGAAAAGAAAAGCGCCTCAGGGACCTGCAAGACAATAATAAAAGATCTAACATTTGTTCCATTAAAGTTTCAAGTGGAGAGAAAGGGAGAGCATCTGAAAAAATATTCAAAGAAACAATGGCTAAAAACTTCTTAAATTTGGTGAAAGACATAAGGTTACAGATTCAAGAACCAAGAGTATCTCAAATAGAAAAACCCAAAGAAATTAACGCCAAGACCCATCATAATTAAATTTCTAAAAATAAAATACAAAGTAAAAATCCTGAAAGCAGCCAGAGATAAATAATATATTATCTATAGAGGAACACCAATTTGAATAACATAAGATTTCTCATCTAAAACCATGGAGGTTGGAAAGAAGTAACACCACATATTTCAAGTGTTGAAAGAAGAGAACTGTCAAATGTGAATTCTATATTTGGCAAAATAGCCTACATGTATTTTGTTAAATCCAGCAGCACATTAAAAGAATTATATACCACAGTCAGTGGGTTTTATCTCAGGTATGCAAGGCTGGTTCAATATTTGAAAATCAAACAATGTAATCCATCATATCAGCAGGTTAAGGAAGAAAAAGCCTATGATCATATCAATTGATGCAGAAAAAAGATTTGAGAAAACTCACCACCCATTCATGACTACCCAAGTTCTATTTCATTGTTTATAATTGTCACTGCTGTAAGTAGCATGCAAGAAACATTCTGATAGCTTTATCTCTGCACAGTCAATTATTATTTTCTTAGGATAAACTCCTAGACACAGGCTTATCGGATCAAAGGGAAAACAGAATACTTTAATTTATGGTACATCCTATTGCCAAGTTGCTTTTCAGAAAGGGTGTCCTAGAACTTTATATTCCCCCAGCATCAACAGCTTGTGGGTTGGCTATTTAATTCTTCCTGTTTGGTCTGCCCTGAAATTCAGTATTGTGTATGTCCAAATGTGGTCCAAGGATCACTTGAGAATTGGTTGAATAAATTGTCCATGCTCTCACAAGCATATCTAACCCTCTAGGAAATTCTATTGGCATTACCTTCAAAACAGATCCAGAATCTGCCCTCATTTCTGCCCTCTGTGCTACCACCTGGAACCCAGATTCCTACCATACCTTTCTAACTGGTCTCCCCACTTGTGCCCTTGTGCCTCATCATCAATTCTCCTCATGGAGTGATTCTATTTCAAATGTAAGTTAGGTTAAGTCACTCTTGTTCTCCAAACCTCATTCTTGGGGTTCCATTTCCATTTTAAAAGTCAAAGATCTTACAATGGCCCACAAGGCCCTAAGTGTTACAAACCATCTTCCTCTCTATGTCTCCCTTCACCTTTCTGCTTTAGTCACACTGGTCCTTTTCTTGGGCCTTGAGCATGCCAGGCATTATACTGTGTCAGGGTCTTTGCAATGACTGTTCCCTCTGCCTAAAATGCCATCCCCATAGATGTATGCCTAGCAAACTCCTTCACCTCCCTCAAGTCTTAGTGTCATTCTATTTAAAACTGCAGATTCCGTTCCCCTCTTATCCTGTTCTGTTTACTTTTCTCCATAGTAAGCACCATCTGGTAACTTACGGTATAATATTTACTTACTTATGTTTATTGTTTATTGTCTGTCAACTCCTGCTGGGATATAAGCTTCACGAGGACAGGAAGCTTTGTAGGTCCTATTCACTGATGTGCTTTAAACACCTAAAACAGTGCTAGCACATAGTAGATAGTGAATACATATCTGTTAATGAGTGACTCAATCTATTCCATGACAATTATGCAGCCACTGGACACAACACTGGAGAAAATGAAGATATGAGAAAATACTCATGCTATAGTAAGTTTTAAAAGACCACAAAATACGACTTAGAATAATTTGCGCCAAAAAATTATATGTATATACATGTATAAAAACGACTGGAAGGCTATATACAAAATGTTTGCGTATATCCAATTTCCTAATTTTCTACAATGAAAATGTCTTGCTCATACAATGAGAAAATTAAAGTGACTTTCCAAAAAGAACGGTTTGGGGGCAGGGACGACTCTAGAGGGCACAAATAACTTTCCAGAGTGATGGAACTGTTCTATATCTGAGTCATGGTAGTGATTACACCTTATTATTTGCCAAAATTCAAACACTGCACACTTGCTTAAATTTTCCTGTTTACAAATTATGCCAAAAAAACAAAGCACAAACTGAAGCCCACTGGTCAAATCAGGCCCCCAGCTCCAGCCCAGGGAGGCCCACTCGGCAGCTGCCACTCACATTAGTTCTCCAGACTTCAGTAAGCAGATTTCTGCATCCTGTCCCATGGGCATGTCTTCAGTGTCCTCAGGGGTTAGCGAGTTTGACGTGGTGTCCCTGAAATGTCACAAATGAGAACATAGCTGTTTAGCTTATTAGCACACAAGGTCCCATACCCTGGAGTCCAGTCCTGAAGTCACGCAGCCAAACCCATAATGCATGGGGAATCTTTAAATCACAGAGGCCATGACAGAGGTCCCAGCAGACTTTGTGGGCAGGGGAAGGGTCACAGGGGCAAGGGTCAAGCAGACAGGACAGGCAGACAACAGGGTTGCAGCAATTTCCCTGACGTCTTCCTGCTGGGTATAAGGAGGAGTGGACATAAACGCAAGTCCACCACCTCCTGTCCCACACTAGCAGAGCTACTGCCAGAGGCCAAGGCACAGCACCACAGATTCCCGCCTCCTCAGTGTCAGTGTATGACTATAGAAGCCTGCTCTGGCTCATCTCTGGGGGCAGGCAGTGGTGTAGGCCAAGAGGAAGGTGACGGGACAGAGCCACACACAGAGAAGGCAGACCTGATACATCATTTGCCCTCATAACCCACCACCAGCCGTGCAGCCGTGGGACCCGCCATGGTGACTCCATGGAGCACCAGAGCCAGGGAAGGGAAGTACCACACACTGCCTCTGCCCTCTCTCAGAAAGTCACAGTGTGCTTAAGAAACAGACGAAAGGTTCCAAGAAGCCCTGCAGTAAAGGTATCTATTAAATGTCAACTACTGCTAAGCAGAGAACATTTTTAACACCTGCTGAATTACTGATCCTCAGAACATACTGGCTGACTGCAGTCCCTGCACTTCGCTGCTGGGACACAGAGGTCCAGGCAGTTTCTCAGAGGCAGGGCAGGAGCCAGAATTGGATGCTCTGACTCCAGCTCAGTGCTCTCCCTGCCGTGCCCATGCCCAGTTCAGCCAGAGGCTGATAACAATCTCAGGGAGCACAGAGCCCAACCAGTTCCTCTCCCTGGAAACCTAGGTCCAGAAAAGAAAACCGGCTTGTCCCTTGTGAAGTCATTAATGAGGAAGATCTCCCACCCAGCCTGACATTTTTCCAAAGAGTTACAACAGCCTCCTTCTCAATAGTCCTGAAGGGCTTTTCTCAAATGTCTCTGGGGTAAGGTCAGTTCTGCCCTCACCGCAGCCTCGGACTCTTGCCAGCCTGGCCCCCAGGTACATGTGCTCCAGCCTCATACTGCCCACTACTGGCCCCTATCTGCCCCCACTCCCCCTAATCTACTGCTGAGTGTTTCCTGAGAGTCAGCTGTGCCCACCTGGGCTAGACACTGTAGATACAGGTGGGCATGGGCCCCACCTCACAAATGCTCTCCCCAAGGTAGGAGCAAACAGCTGGAGCCTCACTGAAAGAGCAAGACCTCACTATACACAGCAGCACATGCAAGGCCAATCGTACAGCAGCAGGCATCCAGACCATGTAATTAGGTGACCCTCCTCACTATCTTCATGCTCACCCAGGCACCAAGTTCATGATCCCACCCTTAGTGGAGCCAGAACTTGTGCTGGAAAACTGGTCTACAGGGCAGAGAGCAAGGTCTGGGTGACCGGCCTGGTGTGATAGCCATGGCCACACTTGGGAAAGGGCTCTGCAGCTTACCCAGCAAATTAACAGACTCCAGGGCTCAGGTGAGCTCAGGATCTAATATCTGGGACACCAGAAATACAAGAGAGCATGCACTGGAGACACCCTAATGTTCACAAAGCTTCTGCCTGGAGAAGACAGCAATCACTTCTGCCTGGAAATGATTCTTGCAGCACTACTGTTCACATGTCATTGCCAAGCGCACTGTAATGGGGGTGGGGGACACTCCATCCTTCCATGGGTAGCAGCACTAACATCCACAGGCAGAGGTGCAAATATGGTCTACCACAGCCCATGCCCTTTGTCTGAGGCCTGAGGTTCCTGGCTGAGTCGGCAGGACTCTGGGAAGAACCACCCAGAGTACCTGGGAGCTCTCCATGTGGACGCAGAGGGGTGAAATTCAGTGGGTCCTGCCCAAGCTTATCTTGGCTGCCACTCGACTGTGGGGCAGGGACACCTGTTCAACATCTGGTGTACCTGCAAAAGCACCACACCAAGAGTCTTTAGGAGATGACAGGCGGCTCTTTCTGGGAGCTTTCCAAGGCAGCGCCTGCAATTCAAGAAACCATCTAGTCCGACCACCCACTTGACAGCAGAGGTGACAGGCCCAAATTCACTCAGGCCTGCCTCATTTCATTTGCTTTCATCCTTGTCCAAAGCACATTTGCCAGAAATGAGATAAATAAATAATGTAGGATGAGAGAAACTGAGGATTATAGTTGGTTCTCCTAATTTTCCTGCCTTTAGGATACAGATGTCCTGATTTATTATTCCCTCTCTCCTTCCATCACCCTCCTCTATGACCACTGTGATGATAGACAAGCCCTGATTACCTGCAAGTAGATCATTCAGACTAGGTTTCCCAGACCCTCCCTGGCTATGGCTGAGGTCCTACATGAGGAAGGTAAGAGTGTGGATGGGTGGTTAATGCAGTCTCAAAGTAATGGCTAGAGCAGAGGGCTTTCTTTTCAATGGATTTTAAAATTGTAGGTAACAACCTACCTAGTAGGCTGTGAACTGATTTAGTAGGTTATGATCAACATTAAAAGAAATAAAATAGAAAAACCAAATGCAATAGTATATTGCATGTTGTGAGAATAAGCACGAGGCTCTTATTTTTCCCTTAGGTGTACACACATGCACACTGGGGAGCCATGTAAAATGTATTTCTTACTGTGGGATGCTGAGAAAATGTACAAGCAACTCTGTTAGAGGATGTCAAGAGATTTTTTTTTTTACAAGTTTGAGAATGACGGGCAACCACAAGACCACTAGAGGGCACCCCACCTCCTGCTAGAGTCATTTCCTTTCCTTATAATGAGGTAGTCTTCGAAAAGACGACAGATAAAGTCACTGCCCACGTCACCTTCCTCTTCTTCTAGCTCCAACCATGGGAGTCTACTGCTAGATGTGGTGGCCCGGTATGGCTGGTGGCATGCCACCCTATCCTGCTGAACTTCTGTCCTGGAGCTTGTGGTCAGTTATCGAAACCTCTCAAGTGCACACACTAGCCCATCAGCCTGTTGGTCCCTTTGCAGGTGGTCGTCTTGGCATTCCCAGGCACGCTGTGCACACAGCCTATGTTCAGTGTCTACATCATGTGTCTCAGGGCAAGGTTTTTCTGTCCCAAATGCTCCCAAAGGGGATGGCCAAGGCTCCATTTTACAGCCAAGTAAGAATAAAGTTTGCACACAAACAAGGCTGACGCTGAGGCAGACCTGGCACTGTGGTCCTGGGGTTCATAGATCTCTGGGCAAGGGTCACAGTGGGGTCCCACAAGTTTGGTCTCTACAGATGGAGTCTACAGTCTTTCCCTGTGACACATCAAACTGCCTTAGCTTGTTTTCCATTTAACTACTGTTCAACTTCAATCCTGCAGAGTGCCCAAGGAGTAGATCCTCCTACTGTTTAGATCACCTGGCGGAGGAGGAAATGAACATCTAGAAAGTCCCTGTGGCCCGAGATGTCTTGCTGGTTATGTGGGCTCCATCAGTGCCTCTGGTCAGCCTCCACCTATGAACAGTCCCCTGTGAACTGAAGAAGTCTTCAGTTTAGAACTGCACGTGTGGTAAATGCATTAGATAAATTAAATGAAAAATTTGGCTCCTTGGTTGCACTAGCCCCACTTCAAGGGCTCACTTGTCACCTGGGCTGGTAGTCACTGAGCTGGACAGTGCAGGTATAGAACATGCCTGTCGTGGCAGAAGACTCCACTGATCAGCGCAGGTTTAGAAGGTTGGGCTGAACTAACCACCCATCACATTAATTCTGAAACCTGGAGGCATCTTTTTATTTGCAATTAAATGTTTATTATTATATATTTATTTTAATACATTTATTTTATTTTGCTATAAGGTGCTAGTAAATTCCTAGTAGTTTTCCTTTTAGTTGTTGGCTTTCTTTTTGCCTAAAAGCCGGGTGAAGGATGACACTTCCGGTATTTTGCCTTCTGGTTACTGGGTGACTGTGGTCTGACCACATCACGCTAACTAGCATGCCCATTCTCACAACCAGCCCCTGGGGCTTTGCCGAGCAGGTCATGCCCAACTCAGTTGCCCATGCCTGGTTAAGCTACTTTTCTGCGGATCTTTGGTCATCAACTTATCTTCACAGTACTGGTCATCCATCAGAGTCTCAGAATTAGACTTTTTTTTTTTTTCCAGAGAAGTCTGTTTAAACATTTTGTTTAACCCCAAATATCTCAAATGCAAGGTCCTCCCCACCCCATGCTCCTTCCCTCCAACAAAAATACTTATGAGTATTGCTTGGCATAAATGTTCTACTGAACACATAGAAATATGTAGATGAGAAAGAGCTTATCACAATATGCACTGAATGGAATGTATTAACATGAATGATCAAAGTAATTCAAAATATTGTACTATACATAACACAGTCATCCCACAGTGATACGGTCACATTCATTATCTGAGTAATCCACAGTGTCTAAGTTTAGACTTAGATTTCAAGTCAAGAATTGTCAATGTGCAGTTAGTAGCAAAATAGGACCCATGTACATTTATTCAAAAAGATCAGGATTTGTCTCCAAAAATCCAGACATTCAGATCAGTTTCTTCTTTCCCTTTAAACAATATTTTCTTCCCTCTTTTAAAAATGTTTAATATTTCAGAAAATATTTTTCTGAAATATTTGATATAAAGAACTTCTTACAGCAATTTAAAAAATATATCATAAATAAAAGATCCCAAATTAGCATGCCTATGTCAACAAAAGGTCAAGTAATTCACCTGTGACTCTGTGAATACTTCTGAGGAAGCCAAAGCCCTCTTTACTGGGAGTGTCTTGGCAACAGAACCTCTGCATTCTATCTTGGTAAACCCAAAAGCCAAGTGAATGAAGTCATACTCCTAGAGTAGGAAGACTACTCACAGCAGTTGACTAGGACTTGTCCCAATCAGGTAAGGTCCCATAAAGTAAATGGTTCTGCCCTGGGTCTGG